AAAAGAGTTATCTTAAGAGCTAAATTTAATATTAAGTAATACTACTTAATAGAACTTAATATATAATATAATTAAGTAAACTTTATTTAAATATAGCTAAATTAATAGTTATATCTTTTATATTTTAAGTTTTCTTAATAATATAGATTATATCTTAAGTAAGGATATTCTTATTAATAAAGACTAATAAATTCTTATAAAGTTATATAAAGTATTTAAACTACTCTATAAGTAGATTAAGAGATATAAAGGCTAAGGTAAAGGTAATAAGTATAGCTAACTTTAAGAGGTTTTAATAAGTATAGAGTATCTCTTAGATTATCTTAAAAACTAGTATAAACTTTTTAATACTCTTATTAATATTAAGATTAACTATATAGTTACTTAACTTACTAAGAGTTAGTTATAGTAACTATCTTAACTTATAAAGGTATTTTAATACTTTTAATAAAGCTTAATAGTAGTCTTATAATCCTTATTAATTAATAATATCCTTACTTACTTATAGTTTAAGTACTTATAGTTATAATACTCCTAAGGTATTAATTTTAACTCTTATAGATATTTATACTTATTAATTATTAATAACTAATAAGTACTTAATAAATATTATACTAAGTTTATAAAGTCTCCCCTCTATATTACTATAATAATTCTATATCTTAAGTAGAGTTTATAATAGTTTTAAAAGTATTAAAATACTTTAGAAATTTATATATAAGTATATAATACTTAAAAAGGATTTTATAAGTATTAATAATAATAATATACTAATATATTTAATTAAACTAATCTATAGCTTTATCTATAGCTTCTATAAGCTATATTTATATTAATTATTATTACTTTAAGAGTTAAGGACTCTAAATATTATTAATAGTTAGCTAGTAAAGCTTATAATATTACTATTAATAATTTTAATAAACTAAAGTAATACTTCTATTTCTCTATTACTTAGCTTATTAATAACCTTATCTAATAATAGATTTTATATTAATAGACCTTCTTAATACTTAGTAAACTTACTCTTAATATCTTTACTATCTTAGTAATAATAACTAACTATAAAAAAGTATTTAGTTTTACTAAACTTCTACTAATATTATAGAGGTTATTAATAATACTTTTAATACTTAAGTAAACTTAATACCTCTAGAACTAAATTTAAAATAGTATTATTACTATAAGTAGCTACTATTTTAAGTAAAGGGGCTAAAAAGGGTTAAATAGCCTTAGATTATTATATAATATATATTTTAATCCTCTAAGAATATTATAAGAAGTATTACTAACTTCCTATTTAAGTAATTATATTTAAGACTAATTAAAATAGTTAATTTAAATAAGACTATCGTAATCGTTAAGTTAATTAGTTAAATTTGACCCTTAGATTTGGCTTAATTGATTAGTTAGCAGCGCTGCTTTTCAAGTGAACATCATCTGCGCCACAGTTTCCTAGGACTTTCCATCAAGTAGGAGCCATAGGCGCCTATAGACAGACTTTATCCAAATCTGTATCTCATAATGACTTAACTCACATCACATGTTTTCACCCAATGTAGCAGTAAATTTGCAACGTGGTATCTGGAATCGAGGTTGCTATTTGGGTTGCTATTGGCTCGGCGTTTGTGATAAGGTAATATGCCCCCTACACATGCTCAAGGCAGACTCATGTACAGTTCTAGAAGCCGACTAAAGTCCGGAGTTCCCAGCCCTGTCACAGGATCCCATCCATCAGACGCCGCAAAAGCTTGGATGACACCACAGCCGCTGTTCCAACCCGTCTTCACATCGCGGAGGGACTTCTTCCCAATGTCGTACAAAAAAGGATTGAGAAATCCTGCGGGGCTTTTGCCAACCGCCTGTCTAGCGTTGTTAATGAGAGCGACCATGGATGCAAACACAGGAGCTGACGCCGACGTGCCGGCGACGCGCCATAGTTTGCCGTTGGAGTAAGCGACCACATCGTTGGCTACCGCGGAGACGTCCGGGAAGCCACGACCGCGCGGGTTAAAGTAGCCTGCAGTCGAGAGATTTCTCAGATGACTCTGCAGGGAAGGCTGGTCGAGGTAGGACATTGATGCGCTCTGTTGGTAAAAAGGAGTCTTGAAAACTCTGCTGTATCCGCCGCCCGAACTCCAAGGAGGATTCGAAATGGAGAAGGCTGTTTCGGGAGGAAAGGACTTCCAGCTGGTCCCGTTCTTCCAGGTCGAGTTGGTGGGTACCAGCTGCGTGCCGCCAACAGTGGTCACCCATGGGCAGGAAGCAGGGAACCCGGGCGTGAAGTGGCCATGTGTCCCGTTTGTCGTTACATTTCCTGAGTTGGGGTCGATGCAGGAATCTCCTTGGTGAGAGGTCCCGGTGTCGCCTGAGCTGACAATGACGCTGACGCCTCGCAACCCAAGCTTCAAGTACTCAAGGCACTGGCGCCGGAGATACCCCTCAGAAAAGGTGGCCTCGTTGTAGACGTACGAGACTGAGATTACTGATGGAGGATCGTAGACACCGCAGTCTGAAGAGTTGTAGCCCCCAGGCCGCGTGTTCGGGTACACGGGATCAAAGTTTGGATCTAGGCCGGTAAGGCAGTACTCTTTGCTAAATGCTGCTAGCATGGTGTTCAGATTGCCGCCGAGGAACTGATCGCCGACCTTGATTTGCATCATTAGCACTTTTGATCCATATTTTGAGGGCTCGGACTCAACTTACCTGGATGTTCGTGACCGGGAGCGGGCTGATAAGCGACATGGCGTACTCATGATCGAGATTGGACTCCAGGTTGAAGGGCCACATTTTGACATCGTCCTGCAGGTAGCCTCCATTAACAGGAAGAACCTTTGGTCTTTGACCAACAAGCCCCGGATGGAAGCGCGAAAAGAAGCCATCGAGATCCTCCGGCAGCCAGCTCACCCAGGCAGGCTGGTAGATGCCCAACGAGTTTTGCGAAGTCGAGACGGCAGCATTGGTAGTTGGCATGTTGTAGAGCGACCGATAACAGTCGGGCGTCATGTACTTGAAGCAGTCTAGTTGTCGACTTGGTGGACTCTGCCGCTTGAGAGTTGTTGTTGACAGCATGTTGAACGGCTTTGCCTTGGCGACAGCCGACGGCACTCCACCCAAATCAATCCCGGGGAGGACCGCATCGATATTACCCGAAATACGTGCGGGAAGTCGAAACGACTTAGTAGCCAATTGGATGGAGTTGTCCTTGGAGTAACTGTAGAACGTAGCGTCGATAAGCCGTTCTGCCTGCTCGACGGTGGTGTTGAAGAAAATGTGGCTGCCGTCTGAACTCACGCTCATACTGGAGCGTGGTATGCCGGCAGAGTCCAACCACTTCGCAGTCTGACGGACCACGTCTGCTGATGGGGCAAACATCTCAGACACCTCGTCCGCAGAAAGATGATGGCCGAACTTGTCCGAACTTGGGTCGGAGATGGCACGGAGAACATCTTCGGCAGCCGAGATGCCAGACTCAGGAACAGAGAGGGCGAAGTCCATACGGATAGGGTGGTTTCCGGGCGCCCTAGATTCTCGTCGCCAGCCGGCCTCACGCCAGTTGCCGGACATGGTCCATGTCTGCTGTTTGGCGTGAGGTTTCGCTTGCGAGAGAGTTATCGCCAATTGCGCAACTGCGGTGACCAGGTATAGACGCATGATGATGCTGATACGACCTTGCCGAGTGAGGTTGAGGTTCTAGCTACATAGACGTATCACAAACTGGATCTTTAAATGCACTTGCATCCAGACACAAGGCCGTAGAACGCCTTACGCAGAGGCTGTGCAATACCCCCAAGCCTACGAGGGGACATTTTCCTAACTACATGCCGTATGCTGTTGGAAGGGGTCGGGTTCCTGTAAACTAAAGTTTTGAAGTTCAGGCAGCCTCTGATGGTGAATATAGAAGCCTGCGTTCCACCCCTTCACACCAATCAGCTCAGGAACAGCATCGTCCCACGACAAGGGTGATTGACTAGCCTAGCCCCCCACCGATTCCCAGGATATGAAGACAGTTGGAAGATTTATAACGTTGGTTGGCAGTGGCTGACTTTGTCCAGGAGAAAGCACAGGGACCCCACGCATAGCCCGCTTGGCAGCGGAAGCGCCCGCTGGTGCGGCGTAGCCAAGAAATGCTGCGTCTTCTGGAACTTTGGTATGAGGCTTTTGTGCCGTGCGTCTACAGTGAATATGATGTGACATTGGGGTGTAGCCGACCCCATCTTCCCTGCGCCCAGGCAAATTGTCGCATGTATTGAAGTTTGAGGTGGCTGAGAACATGTCAACAATCTTGTGTCGAAGTAAGACCGATGCGAATTACAGCGTATACTCCCGGGGTCCGACTTTGAGGTTCGAAGTTAGCATACTACGAAGGCGATTCGAACAATCTGAGCATCCTCTTGACTACCTATGTTTTGAGATTGAACCAAGCAGTAAACATGTGGAGCCATTCTGGAAACCTTCCTTCTGCTACTCCAAAAGCCCAAGTGCCAAGCAGGAATGTGATGGCACCGTAAGCAAGGCGGAGAGGTTGGTTGATTGTCACAAGAACCGGGCATTCTGCGGATGTACCCAACCATTCTCATCTGTCTAATATCCTTCGAACATGCATGCATCCGCATAGTCGCTTTAGGGGTACAAGGATCGATTTAATACTCCGTCCGCATGTTGGAAGAGGAAGGACTTTGGTCCAACCCCAAGTTTAGCCTTCCTTACTTGATGTAGGCGTTTTTCATCTGCCAAGGTTTCCTGACTTCTCACGCTCATGAACTTGGCTCTGGACTCATCGAATACTCTAAGGCGCAAGACGCGAGTTCTTTGGCATGAGTATTTGATAACCATAAATACCGTGGCAACCTCCAGCCAAATAAATCTTCTTCTCTCATCCCCATCGCACTCAACTTTCCAAGCTCAAGTTCAAATTCATAAACACTGTACTCCTATCAATAACTCTCAACCAACTCCACCCTTGCACCATGCGTTTCACTCCGGCTTTTGTTATCGCCATGGCTTCGGTTGCCTCTGCGGGACCAATTGCCAACGAGAAAAGGGTGAGCTCGGAAAGAATCATCCTGTTAAAGTCGGATTTTGCTAACACACTGATGTGTGTCAGACTGGCGGGAACGCGGTACGTTCTTGAGCATCTTGTCATCTCGAAGTCTTGTACTAGCACATGACGCTGTTGTTTGTCAGAGCTTGAATTTTGCAGAGCTAACTCGGGGCAAACTTTTAGCCGGCTTGCATGGCCTTCTGTTGGGAGTTTTGCATCGTTCCCACCGCCTGTGGTACTTGCATCGCCGCCTGTATGGCGGTGGCCAACCCCGTAAAGGAGCTCGACACTTCTGAGTTTCAGGCCATTGTTGACGCCGCGAAGCCTGAGTCTGTGGCGGCTCAGTAGTTGATTCAACTGCGCGATACTATTGAGTTTCTGCGGACATTGTGGGAAACATCTTGGACTTGAATAGTAACTGTTTGTGAGCGAGGGCTTGGTGGTTCAGTAGTGGTTTGGCGAATGCAGACGCTCTTTACATCATAAATAAAACTTCGATCTGCGGCATTTCGCTGCGGATTGTCACAAACACTATTTGAAATATGCCTGGTATAACTAGCAATAACCTGTAAAGAAACGCCCTTGATAAGCTGGGTAAGGGCGAATTGTATGCGATTTGAAGGTTCGACAGCAATCAGGGACATTGCACGCCCGGGCAAGTAGTAACGCTATGTTTCCACCAACGACATTTCAAAAATTTTCTATTCGTGCGAACCTAGGATGTGTCTTGAAATGGGGACAATGATGGCGCGTATTAGGAGATTTTTTCCTCCTTCAATGCCTCAATTGACCCAGATGGTTTTTACTTAGAGACTAGCGAAGAGGGGGTTTCCGCCCATTAAAGAGAGCCCGGACCACATAAAGAAATCAGAGCCTGCCATGGCGAACTCTCAACCTAGCGTACATGCACACCTATTTACAGCAAGCAGCAGATTCATTATGACTTTTTCTCTGGTTGTGGCCAAGTCATGTCGCCAGTCTCATCCCTTTGGCCTCGAGAAGCAACTTTTAGGGTGAATTGGCTACAGCAGCCAGTAATGGGTGGCCTAAGAGATTAAGCTGGTACGTCGGCCAAACAGGTCTTCTCTTAAGCTGATCTCCGCTGCTTACCTATCTAACCAGGAAACCTGGTTCACTCGCCAGGTATTAAGGCACGCTAAAACGGCGGCTTCTGGGGGTCAAAGGGAGCTGTACCACTGTCCATCTGTAATTGGCCCCTTGTCCGTACACTAATGCACTAAGCCGTGCGATCAACCGTGGCTGGCCGCTTCCAACCATTCACGATTCCATGTCGCCTGGCTTCCGAACGGCGCTGGCGTCAGCCTACACCTCAAATCACGGCGAGCGAATATCATAGAATTTGGCATAGAAGCAGAGGGCGGCATGCCGAGCACAATGATTACCATGAGCGGGACGTTGACATGAGTTGGAATCAGACATTTTCTCAGCTCTAGAATCTTTGTCAGCCATGTGTGGGAATGTCTTTGAAGTCGCTGTCTTTGGCATCTACCTAGATCTTTCCAGCTTGATATCGTTTGAGGTACCAATACTGCAATTTTTGAGATACATCATTGAGATACATGATTGAAGCTGAAAGCTGATCATGTTGCGGTTTGAGACAGCGACGCAGGCATCCATCAGTTACAGCACACCGCCCGTCCAGTCCAAACAGAAACAAGAGAAATGTCATTTTCAGCTCCAACGATCATATTCAACATAAAGACCAGCTTGATTCCATCTCTCAACAAGCCCGTTGCCTTGTTCTTGCATGCTCAACACGCATGAGTAAACGTCCTCCAAGATGCCCCCCTCTTTTGGTCCCGACACACTCTTGTTCTCATGGAATCTCTTCATGAATATTCGGGACCCTCCTACTCCCCAAAGCGAACGCAAACAACACCCGGAAATCATCGAAATTTTGTCAGACAGCGATGAAGATGCCCAAGGCAGGACACCGACCCGGCGGCCGAGGCGTGCCAACGACAGATCTCAACACCTCACCCCACCACCATCGCCTCCGTCGCCGTCATCAACTAGGCGCCAGCAGGTCGCACGAAACGACATTGCATCCCGCCTTCGAGCTGCTCCGAGGGTTCCTGTTGGAGAGCCAGGTGGCGTTTCTCATCGACGACAACTCACGCCTGCTGTGACTACCTTTCAAGGTGGCCCTATTCGCTTTGCGGGCGCTACAGAGACTCGTACCGCACGAACTAGCAGTACGAAAGCTGGTTCCAACAACCCAAACATTGCCAAGAGATCTGGCAATCTCAAGATCGAACCGGGCGAGGGTTCAATGGCGCCCAGAACAGGTATTTTTCTCTCCGTCAAAGTCTTGGCAGCAGGTCACTAATGCTATTGGGCATTCAGAATGGTTGCCGCGCACCAAATAGGCCCCTGGCTGGCGATCTTGGTGCCGGCACTGAGCGGAGAAAGAGCGGAGTAAGGGTTTGCCAGAATGATGGCTGCGTATCCGTTGGGTCTCATGATCGGAGCAACCGGCAGGAAGTGACTTTTGAAGATGCAATTACCTCATGTATGCTTTGGAGATGAGTAAAGAAATGTCAGACAATAGTACCCTGAGCCTCGGCGGGACCATCCAGATGAGGAGATCAATGACGTGATGAGGGCTTAACAAGGAAGATCAGGACCAGATGATAGAGTGACATGCACAAAAACAGTTAGTTCGTCTCGTGTGCCTCCGTTTCAGGGGTTGTGACCTCGCAGTAGTGTCCGTTGAAGGTTAAGTTTGACCGAACCACTGATATGGTCACTGGGTCTTGCCAAGCGTTTGCCATGCTTTCTCCACAAATATAGGGCTACCACCGTGGCGGATATCGATTTCATTGGTCTCCCCAGTTGCGTGACATTTCCCGATAGCTTACGATAGCTTGGATAGCCTATGGTAAATCCTGCGAGTATTCTGCCCAAAGATCCAGTCGGTACGGCATAAATTGAAGGTGGCACCAAGTGCTCGGGAAGCGGTGTTCTAGGTAGCAAAGCGATCGTGCTTACGGGTGCCAATTCCGAACTTCCTTGTTAAATAAACTAGAAAGGTGGGCGAATGCAAAGCTCGGGTGACCGATACAGCTCGGAAATAAATCGATCCACGCGTCAAGCGAATTCTATTCAACTTCTTTTTCAGGAGCCATCGTGTCATTTGCCGAGAAAACACACTCCATCAGTTGCTTTTTTTCTACTACAAACTTTCCACTGCCACTCTAGCAATCCTTTCCGCCGCCACCCTAGCAATCTTCAAGATGCCCTTCGTTGTATTACCAGCCCTCGTCGAAGACATCGAACGGATCTACGACGTCCAGTTCGCGGCTTTCAAAGATGAGCCCATAATGAGATTCCTCTACCCCAATGGCGTCGACCGGAAACTTCACACAGAAGGGACGCATGAGTGGTGGAAGCAAGACCAGATCGGCCACCCAGTGAAGTGCGTCGACACCGAGACGGGCGAAATCGTCGGCATGGCGGTGTGGGACATTTTCTGGCGACCTGGCGAGGAGCACGCATTCCAAAGGCCAGAGGGCATCCCGTGGCTCACGGGTGACGACAAGAAGAAATGCGAACGGATATTGATGCCCATGTGGGACATGCGTGTCCAGCTCTTTGGCAAGCGCAGGTACATCTGTAAGTTTCCTGACCATCATCAAGGCCCCAAAGGCTGATGTGTCTTCAAAGACCTCTCGACGATAGCTGTGGACCCCAACCGCCAGAGACAAGGTATCGGCCGCGTACTCATGCAGTGGGGGGCCGACGTTGCAGATCAATTGGAACTGCCGATCTACACCGAAGCTTCGGATACAGGGTTCTCTCTGTACGCAAACGTGGGGTTCGAGAGGCTCACCCATGTGAGCATCGTCCACTCCGCTGAGGCGCGTGGGAAGGACGAGGCCGCCGAGGTTCCCCTCGTGGTCAGGATGCCCAAGGCCGCCGGTGGGATCAAGTTCAAAGAATGGTCAGAGGCAGGCTTTCCGGAAGACTTCAAATTGTGAGGTAGAGCCATTTCGATGGTATCCATCTGGGTTGACGCTGAAGTGGCTGCGATCAGCGCTCAGCGGAATGTGGGCGGGACGTATGGGGACGCCCCCCAAGAAATGGGCGTGACCTGTGAGCACAAAGCTCCCTAGCGAATAATCTCAACTGATATAAAGAAACGTATAGTCTTACTACATCTCGCTAGTCGTTTCCTAGGTTGATTTTCTTCTAATTTTGAATTTGTGGAACTTTCTGCTGTTGCTCACAGATTTAGATATGTTTTGGAGAAACAGACGTCAAACAATACTTAACTGTATGAAACAATGCAATAGCCACATTGAGGCCAATCAGACGCGGATCTTGAGGAGCCTTGTGTCGAGAATCTCACTGAATTTGCCCTGTGTGGTAGATAAACTCTGGATTTGGTGGATTTGGTTCGACAGACATAGGGACTTTCTATGTCAAATTCGCAACAGGGCAGCGGGCCCTCATTAGCTGCGTCCGTCTGCGTGTTGTGCGTATCTGCACCCAATCTGACATTCTAAGTTTCGAGAGATTATCGCTCCCCCAGTCGCAACGACCATAAGATGAGGTCGACGAGCTATCTATTTCCAACGCAGAACCTCTCCAAATGGATTGGTCTCTAATGCCAACGTGACTTCCGTAGGAAGTCCTCCGACCAAGTTGAAAGTTCGGCAGAAGAGAAGCCCAACATCCCGATCAAAGGCGGTCTATGCCCGAGACGGATCTCTTTCTTCAGTACGCCGCCGGCCTATGTGTGAAATTCTCCAAGTCACGACAAGCAGAAGTTACTTTTATCATACCCTTTCAACCCATACTACATCGGAACCAGAAATGAGAGACAGACTGTAGGGAGCAGTGGAATGATTGAACCCTGGATGGGTGAGGAATTCTGGACGGGATAACTGACGTTAATTTTGCAAAGCAGCCCACGCTTGCATTATGTGACTCGCCATTTGGAAGTGAAATATTCGGTTAACTTCTCCCTGCATATTTTCGTATTCCCAAGTCATTTTCGTATACTTTTATCGTATTTCGTATTTGAGCGGGAAGCGAATGGCATGTGTGTTAGGCTGCTGGCAATTCAACGGAGTATATATAATTCCCAGAACGACTAAAAATCGGTGAAAGTTCGAAACAAAGTCATCATACGTTGCACTCGTCAAAGATGAATGGCTTTGCTTTTTTCTGGCTTTGGGTTGCGGGAGTGACGGCCAGCTACTTCAATCCTATCCTTCCAGGCTTCCATCCGGACCCAAGCTGCATTTATGTTGAAAGCACATTCTTTTGCGTGACGTCCACTTTCACCTGGTTTCCCGGTGTTCCCGTCTACGCCAGCAAGGACCTCCGCTGCTGGGAGCTCGTAAGCAGCGTGCTTAACCGGCGAGAACAACTACCGCAATTCGCGGACGCCCCAACTGGACAAGACGGTCTTTTCGCATCAACGATTCGCTACCATAATGGCACATTCTATGTCACGACCACCTACGTCTCTATAGCATCCTACAAGGACTTCGTCATGGAAAACCTGATCTTTACAACCAACGACCCATACAACGCGTCCTCGTGGAGCATTCCGACCAAGGTTGACTTCGTCGGCTACGATCCATCGCTACTTTTCGATGATGACGGAACTGTCTACTTTACTGGAGCGGCTGCGCTTTCGACTGGGACTGCAATCGCCTTGGCCACCATCGACGTGGACAGTGGTTCCCTTGGCTCCATTAGCTACCCCTGGAATGGGACTGGTCTAGGCACCGCTGAGGGGCCGCATCTATACAAGAAAGACGACTATTACTACATCCTCGTCGCCGAAGGGGGAACGAAAGAAAACCACCGCGGATCAATTGCGAGATCCCTCGCCGTCGGCGGCCCCTACGAGAGCGACCCGGCAAACCCAATTGTCATCGCTGAGCACCGCAACTCTTCGTACTTCCAAACCGTTGGACACGCCGACCTTTTCCAAGATGAAGATACAGGGCTTTGGTGGGGAGTAGCTCTCGCAATGCGATCAGGGCCAGACTTTTTGTCATATCCGATGGGCAGAGAGACCGTGTTATTTCCTGTCTCATGGCCGGATGAGGCAGGTGGGTGGCCAAGCCTGCTGGAACCTGTCAGGGGGCAAATGGGCACATCGCTTCCTGGTCAAAATGGCAATGCAAGCGGCATACCTGGTACAGGAGATGAGCCTGATGTCGTTGACTTCAATGGCTCTTCGGATTTGCCAACACATTGGTTGCATGTTCGTTATCCAGAGGAGGCAGCATATGTCATTTCCCCTCCTGGACACCTGAACCGGTTGCAACTCGGACTATCGGAAAGAAACCTATCCTCGGTGGTTACGCGCAACAGTACGATGCCCAACACTATTACGTTCTTGGGCCGTAGACAGACCGATACACTTTTTAGTTTCAGCGTCGACCTCGAATTTCACCCAAAAGGCCCAGCAGACGAAGCCGGAGTCTCGGTTTATCTAGACGAAAAGCGACACATAGACCTTGCAATCATCGCAAATAATCAGGCGGTGGACGGCAAATGCATACGTCTTCGATCATTCAGCAACAACGAAAATGTGACATTGCCGCAAGACGTCATAGTGCCGCTGCCTGGGGACCAGGAAGCAGATGCTGCTCTGCGCTTAGAAGTCCGGGCTGAAAACACAACGCACTACACGTTTCTTGCGGGGCAGGTCAGCAAAGATAAGAGCGAAGATACCAATGCGACAGTCGTGGGGCATTCTCTGGCAAGCCTTGTGAGTGGCGGCTACACCGGTACCGTAGTTGGGGTTTACGGGACTACGAATGGTGAGGCGACAACAGCCAACACCTCTGTAGCATATGTCAGCCGATGGAGGTACTATGGTAAAGGGCAATACGTTGATCACGACGTAGTTGTTTAGTCGAGGAAATGTAATAAACGTGCATGTGTCTCTAGGCAGTATCGGCCATACAGCATTTTCAGCATCCTAAAGCGAATGAATGGACATGCAGAGGAGTTCATATTTCAATCAAGGAGCAAGGGTCAGCATAGTAGATCAAATTCCGGAACACCCCCGAGATCTCTGCTCAGAACGTCAAACTCAAAGTGCTCCGCTACCCAGGGATACGTGATATCAGACAGATCAGATGCTATGCTTGTTCCATCCCCTGGCTGTGCTCCTTGTTGACTGTTGCTAGAAGGGAAGTCTAACGGGGAACAAATCGCTGATGCGCTACCTTCTTGGCGCACATCGTAATGTCGATCGTGGTCGAAGTTCACATCCAAATGAGTATCGCCAATAGAGCTTGTATGCGACTTAGACATAGATTGAGAGGTAATCCAATTTCTCCAAGCCTTCCTTCCTTGCTTTTGTGTCTGATCTCTCCGTAATGACAGGGACGCGTGGTTTTGTTCGTGATGCTGTCGGTCTGTAGTTGCGGAAACGTTCGCCACAGCACGAACGATTCCTCTCAGGCTCAAAGCTGCGGCTTCGCTCCCCATGGCCAGTTCCGTGAGAATAAGGATACCCTGAGAAATGATTTTCATCGGTGCAGCGGTGATACCCGCCAACCTAACCCTGGCAAGCAAAAGCACGTGAAGGGCCGAGCTGCAGTGGAGCGAATCGTGGAAAGACGGAGCGCACAAAAGAGATAATGACTTCAGCTTGGACATGATTCGAATACACGCGACGGCTGAGTCAACGCATTGCTGGGCTTGCTGCTCTAGAAATTTGGTCGCATTTGGGGCCAGAGGCTTATCGGACTTCCTTGTTGCTGCGTTGTAGTTGAGGCATGATCGTGTCAGCAGTATGGTCGCTTGCTCAAACGTCAAAGCTAGGTGGGCCTCAGATCTTGTTGTGAAGCTCTCGAGGTTGACATGCTTCGGAAGGTCTCGCCTCCATTGCTCTAAATCGCGTTTGAGTTGGTGGATGACCTTCGGCCGTATGATCGTTCCCTTCTCTGCGGCTGTTCTGTCGTAGACAGCACCGACGATCCTACCAAGCAAGTGGCAGATCTGTGCCATTGCAATCAGGCCGTCACAGCGTTTCCATCCAAGAGTCTCCACTGGATACGGGGCGTCAATCTCGGTGTCACTCAAGGATAGCGGTCGTCCCATCTCGACACTGTACAGCCTTTCTGCGACGTATACTGTCCACCATAGCCTGTTCCGCAACTCACGCACATGAGCATGTAGCGAGGAAGCGGCAAAGCTCGTGTGAAGGCCCATGTTGATCGCCATCCGTAACGCCAGCCCAAGCACGTTATAACTTGCGTCACGACTACCAGTGCTCGGCAAATAGATGCCCTGAAGAGCGCAGACTTGAACGCTGGCCATTGACGACGAGCAGATAATATCCGGAAGAAGTTTGCGTGAAGCCTCGTAGAAGCGCCAGCCGAGGTTTGGAGCTGGGACGGGAACTTTGATGCGGGAAATATCTTGCAGAGAGTGGAGTCCTTCTTCAACCAGCGGTCGATTTGATTCAGCAGACGTCTCGAGGCTTGGGGCGATGCCAGTGTCCGCAAATTGGCTGCCGATGGCGAGGACCATGAATAGGATGGAAATGAATTCAACCGATCGCCGAGAGTTCCGAGAGTCTCTTGCCTCAAACTCATGCGTGCCATCATAAAAGGCCGTGAGTTTGCGAGAGAATATCTCCGGATGGACACAGAAATAATTGGCCTGGCCGTGGTCGAAAAATGATGTAGTCAAATAGTTCACAACCTCCTGGGGCGGGAGAGCCGCATTGACTGAAGTCCTCCAGTCGGTTCCGAAGCTTAGATCAGAGACCTGGTGCAGGCTGATGTCTCGACAGTCCTAAGGAAACCTTAGCGAGCTGTCGCTGACAGGGGTTGAGCCTTGTCTAGGACAGAAAGAGAAAAGACCTACCGCGTCTCCATTCTCATTTTCCTCATCTACATCACCGGCAAAAACCTGTTGCACGGAGGTAAAGAATGACCACAATGACGAAGTGCCCTCGAAGTCTGTTTAAAGAGGTTCGCTGTTAGCTTAAGCTGTTTTCATTTTTCATGCATTCGAAGAAATATGCTTACGGGTTTTGCCTTGGTTGACAACAGTCACAGAGGCGGCGTGTGCTGATACCGCATCGCAGTAGATTACATCCTGACTTGTGGTTTGATCCAAAGCCCCATTTCCTGACCGACCTACTGCCTCAGTTGATGGCATACCAACAGCAGTGTCATCGGAGGTTTGGGCGACCAAGTGCGAATGAAGACGTTCTAAAGCCTTGACCTCAATCGGAACATCGGGGTGCTCTCTCGAGAAAATTTCCTGCAGGAGTTGAAGCTCCTCCTCATCACGATTTTTTCCTTCTACGTGTGATGTTGGGTTGGAATGTGATCGCCTGGGTGAATCTACAGGCGTATCACTGCCAGAATACTGGCATTGCCTTCGGGCGCCTTGACATCTGTCACAGGGGGCTTGCCCATTGCAACGGAGTTTATTTCGGCGACAAAGCTTGCAACTGGTCCAGTCAATATCATTATCTTGCGCATAGGTTGAAATGCCGGATTCGTCTTGGGCGTACGCAATCTTGACCCTCTTCCTTTGGTCATCAGGTACCCGAGGCCTCTTTCGTCGGCCGGTCGTCTCAACGGGCATGGTCTCCGGCTCAGCAGGCATGTCAATGTCGGATGTGTTTTTGTGCCCTAGTTTCTAGACCTTTCGGAAAGACCATCGGATACTGTTTTATGGATAGTTGTTCGAAGTCTCCCACTCCGATCCTTATAAACCCCTATCTCGGGTGCATGTACCCGATCCCCACACAAACTCGAACATGACCCCGCAGTTGAAGGCCTGGCCGCCGTCCACCCCTGCAAGTCATTGCCAGCACTTGCTGCCGGTATCGTCACCCAGTCGGATTGCGGAACTCAGGACAAGTCAGATACGTCTTCCTTCAACCATAACCCTGCGGGCCGATAGATTAGCCCTGGTCACTAGCGACAACAATGATCGATTCGTAGGCTGTAAGCTTATTCTCACTTCGCGACCGCAGATATGTTATCTGGTATCTCCCAGTTTGGAATTTATTATTCGGGTGTGTGTTTCTGGCTACATGTATCAGAGCAGACAGTGATTATGAAGCAGAAGCGATGATGACCGGACAGCAGCACCGCCGACAATGGTAACAGAGATAGTAGAATGGACCGAATTTTATACACTTCAAAGACAGTTGATCAAGAAAACTAAGGTATGGAATCAATTTGTAGAGCCCAGGTTTCTGCCTGGTGAGGTGAAAGTTTTCGCCTGAGTACTAAGCAAGACACCACAATTTTGACCACAATTTGATTCTCGACACAAAGATAACGAGTGGGCACACAAGCAGATCATCTTCTATCCAGCTTGAGAAGTCTGGTCATCCGGCAGACCATTCGGAGGAGGGAAACTAGACAACAGCAAAACGGCCACCGCTGCCATTGCAACGCCCTGTACTGTTGTCAGCGTTTGGAAGACATCCCCAAGCAGAAGCCACAGGAACATACCGCGTTACAAAAGAAAGTTAAATATGCCTTCTCAATTCCAGCAAAGCTTGAGAAGATGAACCCAAATAAGCCCAGAGTTGATAGCATGGCGATGTTTTCGACGAGGGTCATAGCTTGCAGTGCGTCCGCCCGTTCTGACGGTGCACACATCTCCGTGATGACGCCTTTACTGGCGGGCGCGGATCCAGACGCTAGAGGGAATAATACACCGGCTGGCATTCTGGTTAGCGACCTTGAAAACAACTTTAAAGTGTATCGCTTACCAAGATAGATGTGCCATCCTTGGGTTGCGAATGCGGTTGAGGCTGTGAGCAGCCCATCTGCTACTAAGCTCCATCGCAAGAAAAAAATGTCAAACTCATGATCAGGAACGCTTTGGAAGACAGTTGCTTCGCTCAAGTTGTTTGGTTTGGGGTGCACGTCCGTTGTGACGCCTGCTTCTGTTTCCGCTAGGACTTGTGCTCTGAAGACCTCACTCTGGAGTTCCTTTTCGGACCGCTCGGTGTACCACTTTCGCCCGGAATCGATGATTCTAGGGAATATGAAAAGAAGGAAAACACCGCGTATGAGCGAGTTGGAAGCCATAAGATAGCTGTTTTCCGTGGGCAGGAAATTGAAAGCCGCGGTAGAGTAGAGCTGGATTAGAGTTGGCGCATAGCCAGTTGCCAAGACGCCCAAGAAGACGCCCAAGGCCAGGAATGCTACACCGTAGTGTTTTATAGGTCGGCCATCCTCGAGTCGAAATCTTTTGGGGGCAAGGACTCTCAAAGCTCCAAGCCATCTACTCCACCCTTGTCGCTTTATAGATGTGCCACCAACAATACCAGGTGTTCTGGGGTCGATGTATGGGATGAACACGGACGAGTACAAGCTTGACAATGCGAATAAGATGGTTGCAATTTCAAAGGGTCGTATAATACCACAGCTGTCGCCAACAATGCCGCCGAGGAGATATCCGATCGATGTTCCCAACATGACGCTGCCCTGGAGCATGCCGAACATAGCGGTCCGTTCAGAGGGAGGAGTAATCTCGCCGGCAATTGTGTTGAGTACGAGCAGATATCCGGACATTCCCCCAATAAGGCTGATCAGTTGACTACACTGAACGATGATGATTCCACTCCTGGCGCCAACTGAGACTCCGACGACCTGAACTCCAACTCGCAAAGCAGGAAACGCGGTCTGCAGGACAAGTGCAATTTTTGGGCCCCAGTTCTTAATCTGCCAACCAGCGTAGAAAAGGTTGATAACACTGCAGAACATCGTCGAAAGGCCAAGAATAGAGACTTGCGTCGCGGTACCGGCGTCGATCTCGCTGCGATTGCAACGGTCGCCTAGCAAATTGCCAGTGTCATGGTTTCCGTAGAATTCTTCACATTCCATAAGACGGAAAAGATACAGAATACTGGAATTGTTAGCAATCGCAGTCGCTAGACTTGCTGTTTTCCTTACTTACGGTACCTGGGTAAAGCTTAGCGCGACAGATATGAGAAAACCAGCCAATACTACTCTGTTAGCTGAGGAGAACACAGCTCTCGTTTTGGATAGTTTTGAATCATTCTGCAGTAAAGGTGCGCTCTCGTTATTCGGCATCGTGTGCTTTTTGACTGACAGTCTAGTGAGATTTGGAGTGATTGGGTTGTCAACAGCAGGTACCAGACGCGCTCTTCGCATGTCCTTGATGTTGCATGGCTAAGTAGTGAACGTTATCTATCAACTGCATCGTTTGATTGTGCAGCGTCTCCCCTCGGTCAGTTCCGTTCGGTTATCATTATGGGACACGGCCCGAAGGGCATCGTCAACGACAACATCATTCTTGGCCAAGAAGGGCCACTTTCCTATCATGCGGAAGCAGTAAGACTTGCCTTATCGCACGCTATGAGATGGCCTTATCTACCACGCAGATAGAGGATCTGAGATACCCATCTCGAGTTCTACAGCCAATCGGAAAATGGTTCGTCGTTCGGCAACAGGGATATTACCCCAATGTCGGATCGCGGGCAGGAGGCGCCAATGAATGAAAAGCAGTAGAAAACAACGAGACAGCTTCCCACACGTAACAAAATGCGCAGGCTTCGCAATTCTGCATCGTTGTTGCCTCCACATTAGTCTCAAGCCCCCATCGCACTTTGAATAATGGATGAGCCTAAACAACGAACATCGGTCATGCACCGGATCAAGGGTGCGTGTTTTGAATTTCTCCCATCAGACGAAGGTTCATTAGCTCATTATCATAGTCTTGGTTCTTGGCGAGGAGTCATCTAGCAAGGAAGAGCGATGGCTGGTTCGGAAGCTGGGTGAGTTACTCAAGTTGGTGTAACGAGTGACCACATAGCTGACAACCTTGGTACTAGACTTTTTCATCCTCACATACTGCTGTGTGAGCTTCTTCTTCAACTACCTAGATCGTGCTGCCTTTGCCAATGCATACGTGAGTACTTGTCTCTTGATTACCTTTGGGTCATTTATTGACAGCCGCAGGTTTCTGGTCTGAAAGAAGCCCTGGACCTTAGCGGTAGCCAGTACAACGTTCTATTGTCGATGACCACCGCTGGCTATGTCATCGGACAGGTTCCTCACGGCATCGCCATCCAGAAGATTCCACCACGCATCTGGTTCCCCTCAATGGTAATCATTTGGGCAGGCCTCACCATGGCCAGTGCAGGATGCAAGACCTACGCCCAGCTCTGCGTTGTGAGGTTTCTCATGGGGCTGATTGAAGCATCTACGTACTGCGGCACTATCTACTGCATCGGATCCTGGTACAAACCTCGCGAAATAGCTAAGAGAACGGCAATCTTCACGGCGTCTGGCCAGGCAGGCTCCATGTTTGCAGGCGTAATGATGACGGCGATCAACCAGGGCATGGACGGCTACTCAGGGCTGGATGGCTGGCAATGGGTGTTTCTCATCGACGGCATCATCACCTTGCCCATTTCCATAGTCGGATTTCTTTACTTCCCGGATACACCCGAGCAGACAAAAGCACCATGGATTAGCGAGTCCGAGAAGCGCCTCGCCCTAGATCGTCTCCCACCCAAGCGCGAAGACGGCCACAACATCAACCCATGGTCACTGGCAAAGCGTGTCTTTGGTTCCCCGGCTTTCTACATCCTATGCATCTTCTCCATGGTCTGTTCCGCTTTGGAAGCATTCTGCGTTCAGAACTTGTATCTGCTGTGGCTCAAACACTACTCGGCACAGGGATACTTCACGCAGTCACAGGTCACCACGTATCCTTTGGGTATACAAGCTATGGGAATCGTCTCCAACATGCTTGCCGCTGTGTATATCGACGCAACTGGGCGCCGTGTCCCCATGGGCATTCTAGCATGCGGATTACAGCTTGTCTCGGCCGTCATTCTGCTGGTGCCGACTTCAGGAAAGGTTGCCATCATGTTCGCTTTCTATCTTGCTGGGTCATCTTACATCGTCAACCCATTGCTGTTTGGCTGGGCTAACATCATTTCCCAACGAGGCGGTGACGATGCTCGTCGCAGTGTCATTCTCACAAGCATGAACGCCTTCGCCCAAATCCTGTATACATGGTGGGGCATTGTCTTCTATCCCGCTGATAAAGTGCCATACTGGCGTGATGGCTGTATCAGCATGATCGTCATAATTGCGTTGTTGTTCAGCATGCTGTGGGCGGTACTTTGGCTTGACCGACGGACTGCCAGACAACACCCTGACGCGGCCTTCTACGACTCCACACATCCTGTTCTAGTGTCAGATGATAAAGACAACATATCGATGAGGGCTGTTCCTGAGGGGAAAGATGTGGATGGGAAAGAGGTCAAAATGGCGGATATCAGTGTGTAGCCTGACCATGATGTTTCGCGATAGGATTATGGGGAGTTCAAACTTCATCAAGAGGCGGAGTGATCGATACGTTATTCTTATGTAGTCAAGATGAATCGGATGATGTAGTCATGATATTTCTCTCTTTTTCATGGTTAAATAATTATTTCCAATGAATTCATCGGAGAACTCTCCATCGTAGTAAGTCCATACTGAAACGCTGAGGCAATCATTTGACTGTTCCTGTGCAGGCTTGAGCTTCATATTGTCATTGTCGAGAACCCAGTCAACCTTGTGTTTAGTTTTGATATCTACCTATGGTGCGGACATGTTTCAATTCCACTCGCAGTTCCGCTCTGGACGCAGAGAGCTAATCTGACTCTTGACGATGCGACCATCTTTCATCACCAGCATCAAGTTCTCGTTGATTCTGTCCAAGCTAGAGACATCCTCCAATGGATTCTTATTCAGAAACAGCAAATCGGCGAAGGAACCCTCAACAAGCTCGCCTAACTTGCCCTCCATACCCAGTTGCTTGGCACCGTTGATAGTAGCCTGCCGTAGGACTACAGGGCTTGCTAATATCTTAGACCGCACGACGAATTCGTACGTCTGCATCACCAAGGTAGGCCCCGTCGTGTCGGTTCCGAAACACACAGTCACACCTGCATCCTCGGCGTAGCGGATGCCCCGTATCCCCGCATCTCCCACGATCGCATTCTTGCGCAACCCTTCCGGCGTCTCAAACTTGTCGTACGGTGGCATGGTGACAAATGTGTGAAGAGCTAGCGTTGGCGTCAAGAAGACCCCTTTCTCAACCATGAGTTGCGCAGTCTCAGGATCAATCATGTTGCCATGCTCAATGCCGCGGACACCACCCGCAATGGCGTGGCGGACACCCTCGGCAGTGTAACAATGAGCCGTCACTAGTGTACCACCCATGTTCTTGTTGACAGTCGTGATAGCCTGAAGTTCCTCTACCGTGAACTGCAAGGACTCAAGCTTGTCCGTGGCGGAGGCAATGCCGCCTGATGTACACACTTTGAGGTGTTGGGCGCCTTTACGCATGTTGTCGCGCGCAGCCTGTAGACACTCGGGCACGCCATCACAGAGTCTCCCAAGAGCAGAATTGGCGATACCATTGCTCCGGCAGCAGTGCGAGTCGTTCCATACTTCTGTGTCGTCTCCGTGGCCTCCTGTCTGTGAGAGCATCCGTCCACCTTGGAAGACGCGGGGCCCGGGTATAAGAAACTCTTCAGTGGCCTGCGCATGAGCAATGGTTGCGCCACCGGTGTCACGGACCGATGTGAAGCCGTTGGATAAGATGCCCCGAAGGGTGCCGGCGGATCTGAAAATGGCTGTTTCGTGTGGAAAGGTGAAAGCTCCATGCAATGTCGAGCTGCCATGCACGGCCATGAGATGCACATGACAGTCGATGAGTCCTGGACAGACGAAATATTTGCTGGCATCGATCTTCTGCGCTTTTTGTCCGGCACAAAGAAAGTCGGCGGTCAAGTCGTGGGCGGTGGTGGGAGCCACTCTGATAATCTTGCCACCTGCCAAGTGTAGGCTGATGCCCTTATGCACAACCCCAGCTCTTGGATCAACGACATTGGCGTTGGTGAGGAGGTAGGGAGTTTGAGGTCCGGGCAGCCATGGCTTCTCAGAGATATCGTACGAAGGGTTGGGGGGATAGATGGTTGACTTCAATTCCTCCAACGTTTGCACCAAGTTGTGTTTTCTTTCGTTGCCGAGGGATGCAGTCTGATTGCTATCATGTTGAAAATCCTCCAGAGTTACGAACTCGAAGCGAGAGATGTTACTCTCTTGTGAATACTTGCGCTGCGAATTAGTAGGAACAGCCCTCATTTTTCTTGTCGTGCGATGTATCGAAAAAGCCCTTGCACGAAATGAGACTCGGAGATATTGACAATTTTCGCATTCATATTATCGTCTCAATGCCTGGAATCATTTTGGGCCATTCAATCCCGGGGTTGCTTCGATACGGCCGGGAGGCGTGCGGCCCGGTGATCCCGTTGCTTTACCCATCGGGTACAAGTACCCGGAGTACAATTCCGCTGCGGCTTCCTTGATATCCGCAGTAGACGATAGACGATAAGCTTGGAAACCGACAACATCGGTTTCTCTGACCGATAGCAATGTCTCGGCCCGGTTGGATTTCTTCGTTTGGCTGCCCGTATGCTGACAGCCCGCTGTCCGGTGTGTCGTTGGTAGTCTTTGTCGTCCAGGTCGAAGGTGTCGGCAAGCTCTGCACAACGCGATTCTTCTCAGAGCCTTTGCGCATCATCATTGATGTTTAAATCGAACTTTTCAAAATTTCTTTCTATACTATGTCGGCCGTCATGGAGAAAGACCATGGCCTGTCTGCACGTCAGGCGATGTACCAGAAGCCAGCTGTGTGGAGGCACAGACTTGGTGCAGCCATGCTCTACGGACTTGCTGCTATCGGCATTGCCCACTTGGTTTCTAATTTCCCGGCGTGGTGCATGGAGCTCGCAGGTCAGAATTTCCAAGACGTCGCAAACTTTTTGGAAGAAGACATATTTCCAGATACCGACTATCCTCTCCGACGTGCAGAGGAACAATGGGATATTGCAACGTCATACCCATACCCAAGAAGACTTTCCAAGAACTTTACTGAAGGAACATGACTCCGGGTAGCTACTCATCCATCAAAGGAGGAGATTGTGTTCGATATGCTAGGAGACCTATATTGCATGTCTACACGCAGCCGAAAGGATGATTCAACCGTGATTGCTCACCCCATACTGACGGGAATTCCGTATGAGAAGGAAGCGGAGTTTTCTCCCGATGGATCCAACCTCGTTTACATATCGGACGCAGGCTTCGGTGTCGACAACATCTGGACCATGCCATACACCACTTGCAAGAACATGGCACGCATGCCGCAGCAACAGATCCGAGAAAGCGCAATCCAACAAACGAACTCAACCTTCCGTTTCTTCTCAAGTCCGGCATTTCATCCGACGGAGCCGAAAGTCATTGTCACGAAATGGTTTCTTACGGGTCGCCCAAATGGAGCTGGTGAGATATGGGAGGTGCCCTTGAGGGTTTCTAATGATGGTGTTTTGCCTGAAAGAGGAGGCAGAAGAATCATTAGTCGAAAGCTTCCTACTTCCTGGTCCAAAGAGAGATATTTCGAGAGTCAGTTGGGATCAGAGCAAGCTCGTTATACACCCTCTGGTGATGGAATCGTGTTCTCTCGCAACGTGCGGGATGATGCGGAGGGCAAGTTTTCGTACAATAAAGACGTTCATTCTGGGAACAACGCCGTCTTTCTCTTGAATACCACCACCAATGAGACGACGGCCCTAGTATCGGCTACTCCCAGCAAGCCCAACAAACCTGCAAGCCCAGGCGGCGCGAATATGCCACGACTTTCTAGCGACGGAAGCACTCTAGCATTCATCAGACGACGGAACGACAAGGAAGTTCTTGCTCTTAAGGACATGCGTTCCGGCACTTTACATTACGTCTGGGATGGCCTCTCCTACGACCTGAGTACTATCCCCGCGTTCATGGGGGCTTACCCGAACTATGGTTGGTCAGAGAATGACAGCAAAATTGTCATCTGGTCTCAAGGCCAGATCTGGAGTATACCATTGCGTGTAAACCACTTTGGTGAGCGGGTTGCCAGCGGTGATCCGAAGCAGCTTGGGTTCAGGGCCGCGATAGACATTGCCCTCGGAACAACGAGATACTCAACAACCAATATTACAGCGCATCAACTTGCAACTCACGCCCAGGAAACGGCTTTCCGGGGCCTTCGGAGTGACGCCAAAGGAGAGACGGTGGTGTTTGAAGGGGCTGGGGACAATTACATCGTGGATGTTTCTTCTGGTGATACTCGGAAACTCAAGGCTCCGAATGCCGGTACATCATGTTACTCCCCATCATTTGTGGGTGAGACCCATTATTTGCTCGAAGCATGTTGGAACGACGTCAATTACACCAGCTTTCACGTCGTCAATCGACAGGACAATACTATCACCGAAGTTCAAGGACTACCTCGAGGAAGATATGTTTCTCCAGTCACCGATGGGAGAATTATTACCTACATCCGCACTGGCAAGGACTACATGTTTGGAGATATTGACGAGACATTTGGGGAGGGTGTTTGGGTTGCCAACATTAGCTTACCCGCGACAGCTTTGGAGACATCGTGGTTGGTTGGGCTCCGGAGACTTCCCATCAGGGACTACAGCGCCGAGTCCAAGCTTGAGATAGGGCCCCGCGATGGGTCCACCATTATTCTGGTCCAAAACCCGGATTCGATCGTCGAGTATGATTTGGATAGAAGTGTGGCGCGCAAGATATCGGCCAGCCGAACATCGGTCGAGATGCGATCTACAGTGAAGAACCCGCACATCATCGGGCTTCGGGACTTTCAGCACATCTGGCTCTCGGTGAATCATCAGGCCGAACAAGGATATATATGGAGTAAGCCAGGACATCCTAAGAGGCCGAAGGATCTCACCCGTCTCTCTGACGTTGGTGGTCATGATTTTACTCTCAGCTGGGACGGAGACAGGGCTTTCTGGCTTTTGGGACCCAGCCTGAAAATGGTTGATGTCAAAACTATCTCCGAGGGATGCAGGCGAGCATTGCTCAAATCGAGAGACTCTGGCGACTGCGCTCGTAGGTTTGTCTCTTCCAGGAAAATCAACGCAACCTACGAGGCGGCAAGCCTTCACCACACACGAATTTCCAAGGGCAGGCCATTCGCTATCACCAATGCATCTTTGATTAGCATGGGCCTTACGACTCCGGAACTCATGCGTCAAGCTACGGTCCTGGTCGAAAAGGGCCAAATTGTTGCCATTGGCCCAGGATCCGACGTCAAGTTACCTGCACACTGTGAAGTCCTTGATGCTGAAGGAGGCGCAGTTCTACCTGGCTTCATCGACATTCACGGTCACTGGGGAGGATTCTTCTCGCCCTTCCCAGCCAAGTCGTGGGAAATGGAAACGTTTCTAGGATACGGCGTCACAACAATCCACAACCCAGCGTCCAATAATGTGGCTGGCCACATTGAACGTGTGCTTATTGAGAAGGGAAGAATGTACGGCCCTAGAGTCTATCATACAGGCGATGTACTGTATGGCTCAACTCAGCCTTCTGTTTACACTGAGATCAACTCTCTGGCTGATGCTAGAGATGCACTTTTGCGGATCAAAGAGGAAGGCGTCGATTCGGCCTTTACTGTCAAAAACTACCAGCTCGTTCCTAGATCGGCCAGGCAGAGACTTCTGCTTGAAGCCGCTAAGCTTGACATGCTCGTCGTACCGGAAGGAGGGTGGTCGTTCGACTGGGGTCTGACCTACTTCATCGATGGCTACACATCTCAGGAGCACCCCCTTCCTGTGCCCGACCTGTACGACGACGTCCTATCACTGGTTGAGGCCAGCGGCAGCTCATATACTCCACTGGCAGTCATGAACTACGGCGGTATCTTCGGTCAAAATTGGATACACCAGAATGAGGACATACCTAACGACGCCAAGCTGAGGAAGTACGTAAGACATGACATACTGGAAAGCCTGACCGAAGTGAAGCAAGCGCCGAACAGTTCCTACCTGTTCTTCAACACAACTCGATCAACCGCGGAACTCGCGAAGCGAGGCGTGAGGACGAATGTTGGTGCTCATGGAGAGCAGCCGATCGGCCACTTGTTTCATTCGGAGATGAAAATGATGGCTATGGGAGGTCAGACCCCTTACAGTGTCTTACGCTCTGCCACTATCGGAAACGCTATATCACTCGGTCTTCAGTCTTCTGTTGGGTCTATCGAGGTTGGAAAGTTGGCAGATATTGTCATATACCCGCCAGGAGTTGACAACGTACAGAAGGTATGGGAGCGAAGCGGTCATATGAAGTTCGTGATGCGAGGAGGGATCGTGGTCAGCGTCGAGGATGGACTTGTTGAATTATGGCCACGCAATGGCCGAAAACAGGCTCGGTCTCCTCTTAACCCCGAGGGTGTGACTGGGGTTGGGAAGACTTAGATGTGTGTAGCAGATGACGTGTCGACGTTTGGCCAGAGTTGAATCTCACACGCTACCTACCACTAACCTATTGTCATGTTCTCGCCAAAATCCAAACAAAATTCATAATTCGATCATACCCCAGAAAATGGTGTCAACCGCCTTGAAGATGGCCCAATGGCTGGTTCGAGACTTCGAAGGCCGCCAGCACCGAAGACTCCGGAGCCGGCGATGCACTGACCGGCCGCTCCGATTGACAGGCTTCTTGGTGCGGCCAATCATGACCTCTCTATAGCAGAGACCCCGACAAAGCCGAAGGCCAGTGCCGTGTACCACGCCCTATTACGGCCTCTTGCAGAGCATGGGAACCTTCCCTCCCTCCGGGCCGCCCACCCTCAGCTCATACTTCAGTAAGCTTGGAGTTATCCGCGCAAGCTTTCGGCAGAGGCTTGACTGTTGACCGGCTATTTTAGCGTTGCGGAAGCGCCCCCGACGTCTAATATATGGGTTTCCTACAGTAAGTTAACGAACCCGAGTCATTATTATTAGGGAGGGAAGGGCTTGTGGATTCTCGACTTGTCTATGTCCAGTGTGTGACGAACTTGGTGCGCACCCTTTGCCTCTTGTTCAATAATGGGACCAGTCAAGAATTTCGCATTCGCTGTGTACGAGGGTAAGATGATTTCAAAGATTAGAACAAGACTCCTGGACACTTCAGTCCAATCATGAATACAACTGCGAGAAAAGTCTCGCAACATCAATGATCAGCACCTGGAGTTTGGCCGTCGCATCCCTGACATCGCTTGTTGCAACATGCTGCAACCAAACCACTCATCTCGGCCGGAAGCCGGCGACGTCATCTATAGGACTGATTCCCCGACTGCTCAAATCCAAGCGGCGTCACCCGCTTTGAACCTTTTCTCGACCTCAGTCATCATTCACTTTCAGCCGCCAGGAAGTGTCTGCAGTCTAGTCACCAGAATCTGCATCTGCACGGTCTACTGCTGAACCATGCTCAATTTACCCGCCGGTGTTACCCGCGTTTTGGAATTCATCATCCCAGGTGACTGGCCCCCGTGCACCAAGAACACCACGTCATTCGTAGAGCATGGTTGCGTACCGTTTCCTGCCATCTGGGAAAGGATTTTGAATCAAATTCTACAGATGCCCCACCGTTCGGCCGCTGCTGTCCGGACGTTTGCTTGCCTTTCGAAATGTTTCGCTTGGCCAATATGACCATCATGACGAGTTTTTGTAAGGGGACTGACTTGACTCCTGTATTTAAAAATCGAGCTTTGCATGCCCAACGGATGTGGGATTTCTGCGCGCATTTACACAATCATATTGCATTAAATTGACGTCTCTGAAGCTACCGACTTCCTCTCGGTCATCAGAGAGACGGTAAATCAACCCGAACTACCGCTCATAAGGCTTTCTTAGTCTGTGCCTAGACTTGGCAATCGTACTTCGCATGAACGAGTTCCGTGGCCGAAAAGACCCCTTAGCACACTGACCGGTTCTGATGCCACAGAGCTAAGTCTCAGAACTCACGCTTAGATGCAAAATATACCATTTTACCCGATGTAGGGCTGTCGCCGACTTTGCCAGGCCTAAGGCGATTGGCTCTTTCGGAACTGTTTCACTCGAAGTCTCCAACGCGGGCCAACGTTGCCCGTGCGGGATATCCGACGACCACCCCTCACCACGAAGAGGAATTCTCGTTCGCCTTGGCGTCAGCCCAAAGCCAAGGTAAGTGGAGGCCGTTATCCCACTTATGGTTGACATAAGAGCGAGTTTGAGAGTGAGTGTTGTCCACGTTGAGTGACATAAAGGTTACACCGGTGTAACCAGCGGATGAGGACAATCGAAATCTCGCGTTGCTTGTCAGCGTGCCATTCATTCAGGAAAGTCTCTCGTGCATGGCCTCCCATCATCTGAGTGTCTTACTTGACTGTCTCAATGTAGATCAGTCAGCAGCTGGTGATGCACAGCTTTTGCCCTACATGTGTCTAGTCAGCCGTGCGCAAACTTGAGGTGTAATCTACGTCAAGCTATCGCGGCTTGGGAAACGCTCAAGCACGTGTATCCCGAGGCGTCCGGACGAAAGGTGGCGGATTCGGCGAACTCGTCGGCTGCAATGGGGAAGCCTCTTCGCAAAGGGTAACTGGTTTCCTTTTCGGCTTGCGACGTGGGGATACCTTGGGTTCGCACCCCAGGCGTTCCGGCCACATCAAAGTTGAGACGGACGGCCTTGGCTGTGCGTTGGTACTGCGAATGGCGAAACCGTCCTCCTCCAACCCCGGCGGGATACGACCCTTGCTCACCAACCACAGTCTTAATGAGACTCAATCTTGGTATAACATTAGAGTGTGCTTCCCCCCGTACCCCGCAATCTAGCACGAACGTGCCATCCTGGGCTACTTTGTCCCAGATTATTGGACGAGGGCAGCACATGAACAGGGCTGTCTCCTTGTCCAATGCGAGAGACATCTGCCGAACAAAGTTTGACGGGTCTTCTGTCGTCTGTGCCAGCTTGAGTAGTTGGCTCCCGCTCATTAGTGGCCGTTCTTGATAAAACTAATGGCCGGCCACCACCTTCCCCTCTTTGGCCAAGACTTGTCAGCGCAACGTCGCATCATTTGAGCAGTTTATGATGAGTCGAACTATCTACCTCGATAGCAGCTCAAATACCCCGTTAGCACCTCCAGTCCTCTTTGTTTGAAGTCTCGTCGCACTTTGCTCCGACACCTGGTCACGATGGTACTGTCTACGATTGATGAGATTGCTATAGAGCCGGACAAGAAGCGTAAGTGGCGGGGACCTAGGGGGTGTAGTCATAACATTAACAGCGTACTCCCAGTCGACTACTCCGATAGAACTACAATTGATATCAAGTCGGAGTCCGTCGGATACGAAGAGGCTCCGTCAATACTAGAATGGAGCGAAGCGGAGGAGAAGGCAATCAGGCGGAAGATAGACTGGCACACTGTCCCGTTGACGACAGTACTCTACCTTCTTTGCGTATGTGCTTTTTGCGACGAAGAGCTTTTTTCTCCGCTTTCAAAGGCTAACATGCGCAGTTTCTCGATCGTTCGAACATCGGAAACGCGAGGATTCAGGGCATGGCCAAGGACATCAACCTCGAGGGATTCCGATTCAACTGGGTTTTGTCGATATTCTACATTGTCTACCTCTTTGTTGAGGTTCCGAGCAATATCGTACTTAAGCGGGTAGGACCGCGATTCTACCTTCCGTTTCTTGTTGTCGGATTTGGCGTTGTCTCCTTATGCACAGCCTTTGTCAAGACCTACGAAGGATTAGCAGCAGCACGGGCGTTCTTGGGAGTCTTTGAGGGAGGCGCCATGCCAGGATTCTCATTTTTTCTCAGCAGCTTCTATCGAAGAGAGGAGTTGTTGCTTCGGATCGGGATTTTGATCTCATCAGCATCTCTTTCGGGCGCGTTTGGTGGTCTCCTCGCAACAGGGCTGTCTCGAGTGCCGGAGTGGGGTTTCGACAGCATGCCGATACACACATGGCGCAACATCTTCTTCTTCGAGGGGTTCGTGACGATCTTGATCGGCCTTTTCGCGCCGTTGTGGATGCCGACGAACCCAGCTACTGCCTATTTTCTCACTGATCGAGAACGAGCCATTGCCGTGGAGCGTCTTCAGCGAGAGCACAAATCTGACGCCAACGAGCCAGTCAGCCTCGACCACGTCAAGAGGGCTGTATTCTGTATTCACAACTACACCTGCGCTTTCGGCTTCTTCCTCATCAACATCACTGTGCAGGGCATCTCGGTTTTTATGCCGACGATCTTGAACGATTTGGGCTGGACAGCAACGAAGGCGCAGCTTATGTCTGTTCCGCCATACGTCGTTGCCTGCGCGTCGGCCGTGACAGTGGCGTACATCAGCGACAAGACGCGACAGCGCGGTATATACCTTGCGCTATTCTCGCTTATCGCGGTTATTGGCTTCGCGATCTTGCGGTTCGAAACCGGTGCGAATATCCGATACATGGCTGTTTTCTTTGTCACCGCGGGCGCGTTCCCGGGCGGACCCGGATTTTTGAGCTGGGCTATGAATAGTGAGTAGCCACAAAACCCCGCAATCGTTGTACTTCAAGCTAATTGATATGACAACAGATTCCGCGGGACCATCAGTTCGAGCGGTTACAAGTGCCTATGTTGTTACGATCGGCACAATTGGAGGCATTGTTGCGACGTAAGTGAATGATGACACCAGAGGAATGTCACGACAAATACTGATTCAACCTAGATGGACTTACACGTTCAAAGATGCACCCAAGTATTTTGTCGGACACACCATCAACTTGGTCGGGCAGAGTTTAGCAGTACTGCTTGCAGTATTCGGCATACTGTACTGCTTGTATGAGAACAGAATGAGAGCTGCTGGTAAGAGGGACCACAGACTCGATGGTCGAAGTGAAAAGGAACAAGTTCAGTTGGGGTATCGACATCCTTCATTCCGCTACATGCCATGAGGAAGTAGCTAGACTCAGTTTGGGACGGTCGAATGCTAGAAATGTCATGATGTGCCAGACACTTACCTACCTGGTAGTATGCATGTGAATCTGTTCAACCATGTGAGCTTTAGCCGCCAGACTACTGCAAGAAGGTCCATGGTATTAGTTCTTGTCCAATCCAATAGGCGTATTTGTACTGACGCTGTCAGCCCCGGTGCTGCGGTTGACCCCGCACACTGAACATGGCACGCGAATGTCGTCTGGTCAGCAAAGCCATGCCCTCACTCCTGCACATCGCATAAGCAGTAACATCAGCCAAAATGCGGCTTCTCAACACGAAAACCAAGGAGCTTCACGTTTTTAATCATCATCGAATACCCTATGCGATTTTATCTCATACTTGGGGTGCCGAAGAAGTTTCATACCAGGACCTAGTCTCCGGGAAAGGTTCCGAGCTTATCGGGTATGAGAAACTCGCAGGCGCCTGTAAAAAAGCCCTTTCAGATGGATTCCAGTACATTGTGAGCATCTAC